GCATACCCCTTCCCAACAAACATTCCTGCCTTAGACAGAACAACCTTATTAGATTCTATTACAATGCAAAATCCATTCTTGTCTAGCATGAATCCTGACACAAGGTTCTTGCGCACTTCTGGCACATACAACACATCAGTGAGTGTCAGAGTCTTGCCCGAAGTCATCTTGAGCTTCACAGTTCCTTTACCTTCAACAGTGGCAACAGCAGCATTTCCCATGTAGATCTTCTCTCCATGGACTGGTTCAAAGGTGGTGAAGTGGCTCCTATGGGTGCACACGTGCTTGGACGCGCCAGTGTCCATCCACCATTCCTTTGGGTTGGACTCCACCATGTTCACTTGAGTCACCACAGCAACTAGGTGCATGTCCTCCACATCCTTAGTGATGTCTTTGACCATGTTCGCCTCATGATCCTTCTTTGGGGAGCGGCAATCAGCAGATCTGTGACCTGGTTTGCCACAATTAAAACAATTACCTTTGAATCTGTGCTTCTGCTTAGAGACACCACCAGTAGTCCCTAGCTTCCCCTTGCCTTTGTTGGCGTTCTTGATCTTGGCCTTGTTCTTCGAGCATTGGCCTTTACCATGCTCCACAATATTGACCTTAGCTTGTACGCCATTGGATGCCTTTGATTCTGACTTCCTGTTGTCTTCTTCAATGCGAAGTCTAACAATCAGATCCTCCAAGGACATCTCCTTGCGCTTGTGCTTGAGGTAGTTCTTGAAATCCCTCCAGCCCGGAGGCAACTTTTCAATGACCGCAGCCACTTGGAAGGTTTCACTTAAGATCATCCCCTCAGCCTGGATGTCGTGCAGAATCAACTGGATCTCTTGCACTTGACTATCAACAGTCTTGGAATCTACCATCACATAATCAAGGAACCGTCCGACTACGAATTTCTTCGAGCCGGCATCCTCTGATTTATGTTTCCGGTCCATGAATTCCCATAAATCCTTAGCCGTCTTAAATTTCTCATACACATTATATAATGAATCATGAATAGCATTCAAAATATAACCACGACAAAGGAAATCTGACCGTTTCCAAGCCTCATATGCATGGACCATTGGTACGTCCGAAGTACCTTCAGGCAACGGAGGAGCAACACCCGTCAGAAAGCTCGCCAAGTTCAACGTCGTCAGGTAGAATAACATCTTTTGTTGCCACCTCTTGAAAGTTGCAGTCGTCCCATTGAACTTTTCCGGCTTCTCCACATGGCTAGCTGGAATGTTAGGCATAGCAGGAATAGCAACAGAGCTGGCAACCCCGGGAGCAATGGCAACACCGGGTACAACAGCAGTGGGAGTGGTGCTAGCAACAGCAGCGGGAGTGGCGCTAGCAACAGCAGCACCAACAACATCAACACTAACAACATCAGCCATCACGAATACACAAAATCAAAGAAAAGTCTGTTTTAAGATTGTTGGTGGAAATATGGGTAGTATTCGCAAAGGCTAAGAAAAATGGAAGAAGAAAAAATCCGAGGCTCGTGAAAACACGATCTCTTTAAAACAGATTGCCCCCTCCTATAGTGCTTGAGGATCTTGAGCAACTGTTTCCCAGGATACAACGGAAACGTAGAAACTACTTAGCACAAAGAAGTTCTACCAGCGAACGAAACTTAGAACACGATGATGAACACCAAAAACTAAAAGAGAAGGAAAGAGAGGCTTGAAAGAATACTGATAAAGGAGGAAGGATTGGTGTGTTGAACTTTGGAAAATGAGTGCCCTATTTATAGGCTGGAGAAACCTTTGAAATGGCAGCAAAACTTCAAACGGTTTTGGTATTTTAATTCTGTTAAATGTCACGAATTCATGGCACATAAACAGCCAAAACGTTTTTGACAATCAAACAGTCAAAAGAATTCATTCTTCCATTTAAACAGTATTAAATCCGCCATTCATTTGCTCATTCAACAACAATGTTTCAGTTTTTTTTCTTTGACTGAAATGAATGAACATAAATCTCCACATTAAAATTTTAGCTGGAAAAAAAAATTAATCTGAACCGTAGCAAAATGTGGGTTGATCAGGCCCGCTAGAGCTCGGTCCGGCATTCGTGTCCGCAGGTCGTGCGCACACATGAGTCAGGTTATTTTGGCCCCGAATCAGACCTCCATTTGCACCCCCCCTGCCCGGGCGCACGCGAACGGGAGAGATGTGGTATAGTATTGGCAAGTCATCTTGCAAGTCAATTTTGGGCTCTCACTTATAAAGTGAGCTCCAACTCTTCTCAACACCCATGTGGGACAAAGTCCCTTAGCATTAACTCTAATTTTTCCAACTCTTGAGAAACTTAATTCTCATTCACTCTACTCTTTTCCAACAGATAAAACCTTTCTCATGTTCCCAATAAGTTATGAGATAAGTCATGAATTTAAGCAACATCAGGGAATCACTATTGATTCTTTTATTGTGAAAAAAAGAAAACCTAATGAACACCTTCCATCTATAACATTATCCTTTAGAGAGTAAAATAGGACAATTGTTTGGAAGTCATCATCTGCATTTTATTTCATGTACATTTTGCAGCCGGTTCTGGTCATTGCTGACGTTCAAGATTAATCAAACCAAAATGATCAGTTAGCTAGAAAATGACTCGCAAGCTGGAACATCATGTGTTGAGAACTGAGAATTACTTCAAATGATTGATTTAACATTGGCCAAAAAAACTTTAATAGGTGTCATTCTGTTCTAAAATGAATCTTCTGTTTTTTATACCAAATTAGTAGAATACTGCTCAAAGCTCAAAAGAGTATCATACATGGTGTGTGTGTGTGTGTGTGTGTTTTTTTTTTTTTTTCAGGAAGCCAATAGGCTTTAGTTACAACTACGAAACATCCCGACAGGGAGCGATGATCCAAGCCTATCCGTATTGAGCTTATCTATAATAGAGGACGGAGGCGATGATAAAATAGGGTTCCCAACCAAACACGAGAAGTTGAATTTTGCCAAAGCATCCGCGACGACATTTTGATTACGTCGCGTATGTCTGAACAGCACGATCCAGTTGAGAGTATCATACATGTTAACAAAGTGTTAGGTCAATTTTCGATCTACCTACTGGACTTAAGTAGTGAGTTCAAGGCATTCGGCCCTAAGGCGATAGTGAGGAACATCATTTTATTCGCCGGATAGGCCGAATGGTATTAGGATCGAATATGAGCTTATGAGTTTACTTTTTGGCGGAAAGGTTAAAAAATCATGGTAAAAGGGGTAACTTGCAGAAAGTGAATTCAATTACTCCTTATATCCAAAAATAATTGTTCTGCTTAAAATTCTAATTTTAGTGTAATTTATATTAGAGATGAAAATTTAAAAAAAGAAAAATCATTGAAACTAAAATATTAAATTTTGATAGCCACAATTCGAAGCAGCAAAGGAAGTCACTTTTGCGGATTGAAGGAGGTTAACGAAGGGTACTCAAACCTTAAGGTTTGTTGCCGCAACACACATAACTTTGAAGATTTAATATATTTACCCTCACGTTGATTTCCAACAAGTTTAATGATTTTTTTCATTTAAAAAATAAATTTATAATAAACTTTTAGTTGAATATTGCACATTTAATTTATTTCCTTACTTTCTTCCAAAATTCTTAAAAAAAGCATTTTTATTTATTTAAATTTTCACCTACTATATATTTTTATTTGACAATACCTTAAAAACATTCTGTAACAATCAAGAGAATACAACAAATGTGAAAATATAATTTTAAAATTTTTTTGTCAATTAAAAATGTATACTAGGTAAAATCTATGACAAATCAATATGTTTTATATTAAAGATGGATGTAGGGAGTATTACAATGTTATTGTAAATTAAAAATGGCACGAGTAAAGTGAACTAGTGATGTTATAAATGGATCTTCTAATATAAGCCCAAACGAGTGTTGATGTTCTTGTTGAAATGGTTTTAACTTCTAGGCGTGCGTTGATGTTTTCTCTTGATATTTAAAATGGGAAAAAATTGAGTCGAAAAAATAAACGGTATTGGAGTGATCATTGGATCCAAAAGAATAAAAAAAAAAAAAGAACTTAACAATCTGCGGTGGATTCTCGCGTTACCCACATGAAAGTTAAGAGAAGAGATTTTATACTGTATCATGTTACAGGAAACAAAAGACAAACGGAAATTGAATGAAAGCTTAATAGTTAAGATACTATTTTTTTCTGGTGATAGATCAGAATTCAATTCCCACTAAACATTAAGGGAGGTTTTACCCACATTTAAATGTTACTGGTGTGGATTTAAAAAGAAAAAGAGATAAATATGTAACTTTTGATTTTTTTAAAAGGTACCAATCAAAATATTAATGCTTCAATACATTAATGAGTTCCATTACAAAAGAGTCAAATACAAACATCTATAAACCCACATTTAAGTGGGGTCTACTGAGGTGGATTGAAAAAAAAAAGAAGACAAATATGAAGTTTTTGTTTTTTTAAAAGGTATTCCCTCCATTCCAAAATAGATGTCGTTAGGGGAAGTTGCACAAAGTTTAAGAACACAATAAATATTTAGTTAAAATACTAATCTACCCTCATTTACTTTCAATGGAATCCTATTTCTAATACTATTATTTAGTTCTAATATGCTTCTACTTTGAACACAATTACAATTTCCCATGTAGGGGTAATGTTAGAAGAAATTGATAAAACATGCATCGAAATGCAAAAACGACATATATTTTAAAAAAAATGAGTTTTCCTCCAACGACATCTATTTTAGAATGGAGGGAGTACTAATTAGAATATTAAGGTTTCAATACATTAATGAGTTTCATTACAAAAGAGTCAAATACAAACATCTATACATAACATACATGGGTAGGGAATTGAACCATGGTCTTGTGGAGCTCATTAGTTAAAACAATCAACAACGACCACATACTCGTTCCAACTTCGTTGAGTCTGGGTCAACATATATAACGCTCATTTGATATAAATACATCTAAAATCCCTAGTGAATTTTGGAAAATGCTTTCTTTGATCCCTATGAATCTGCGTTATTCTTAGGGCCATCTTCTTGCTCCTGCTTTTCCAGATCTGTAGGATCTACATTCTCCACAGGCACCAATTTGGCATTCTCATCCTCTCTTTTTTTACCCCATAACACAACATACAAACTGCAAACTATGAGTATACTTCCCAGCAAATTTCCCGAGTATATGTGCTCCTCCAATACCATAGAACTGACCAACCCCACAACCACAAGCGTGCAAGGATTGAAAACTGAAACAAACAGTGGACCTCTCATTCGCACGACGAGCGATATTACAGTAAAAAACCCTGCTGTGCTTAGGATCCCGGCGTAAGCAACTGTAAGGAGTCTGATATCCAGCCCTAGTTTCCATTGGCTTGGCTTTCTTTGCATGCAAATTGCGAAAACAGAACTCATGATCGCCGACATCAAAACCATGAGAGCTGTAAATGATAAAGGAGCTGGATACACCTGAGCTGCCTTAGCCTGAGTAATCAACCAGAGTGAGTAAGAAACACAACTCAACAGCGCAAGGATGACGCCGAGCACAAGGTTATGGCGGACACTTCCGCCTGATTTTAGGGTTGAATGATGACGACTGGTTATCTGCAACAGGTTTAGTTTTGTATCCCAAAAGGTGATATCTGGACCTTCGTAAAAAGTGAACAGCATTGCTCCACCAATCCCCATTATTGTTCCCAATATCTTTGCTTTACCTGCAGCTGTGTTCCAGCCTAACTTTTCCATTCTCAGGCAAACGGCCACGACAAAGGTGACAGCAGGAACAAGATTCAGCATGGCTGAGATGAATGTTGCAGATGTCAGTACCAGGCTTTGCAGATAGAGATTCTGGCCTAGCGATCCGCCAAATAAACCGGCAAGACACGCGTACAAGAACACTTTCCAGGTTAGTTTTGGCCTTGTATTCCTTTCGAAAAAGAGTGCAATAGGAACCATGAAAGCAGCACCGAAAAGAAAACGATAAGCCACCATAACCCTGTTATCCATGCCATCATTGGCTGCCAGTTTCAACAAGATATTCATCCCTGAAAATATAACCTGTCCGGTAACCATCATCACCGCCGGCTTCCACCCGCTTGTGGTTCCCTCGACGGTGGTCATTGATGAAGTCGCGAACAAAAGAACCTTACTTATCTTCACTATGCACTCACAACTTTCTTCTCTTCTGTAATTCACAAAAGCTGATCAATAGATGTCTCTCTCTTGAAGAAATATTGGAAAAGCAAGCATCTAATTATACAGAATTTGTAGTTATCATCTTCTGAATACAAATAGGGAAATTACCAATCCTGTTTCGCTAGTCCTACTGGGAATCAGACAGAATCCTACTCGAACTATGATTTGATTTTTGCAGAGTGCTGGGCTGAGGTTCCTGCAGATAATGTTTGCTCTCTCCAAATCTGAGATGGACATGGAATTGACATACTTTGGAATTTGGACTGATTTCACCCATACTATATTTTCAAACTTCAACTAGACACGAAGTTTTGTGTTACCTAGAGCGAGCAGTCTGGAACTGCAAGCAAATTGATTCCCCCGATCTAAAATTGATCTGGTCAAAACATACAGATACAGAGAACAAGGGAACAGCTAATTAACAGGTACCATAGCAAATTCACAAAAATTGTACTCTACATCAGTGGAAGATGATTGGTTCGTGCAAAGAAACTGTTCAGATACCAAACTAAAGCATCCACAGAAAACCACCTCTACGGACAACATTCAGCATTTTGGTTAGGGATATCTTTTTACAAGCAGAGAATATTAGCTACATTCTCCAGGACAAACCTAAAAAGGCAGCATAACGATCTATCACCAGGGAAGGGGAAGTAGTTTCATGGTGGAGACCCTAGTGACGACATGGCTTTTCTGAAATCCAAAGACTTCAGAGCTGATTCAGGGAAATGTTTTCCATCTGGTACCCACAGTTTTCCTTCATGGGGTACCAGAACCTCAGGGGAGTCTTTTCTTGTTTTCTTCACAAACTTGAAAAATTCAGCAACTTGGCGAGCATAACTGCGAGCAAAATTCAGCAAAGGAATCAGAACAAAACACGCATTTACATTTGGAGTACCAGAACAACCATTTCAAAGTACCAGAAAAGGAAAAGAAAATATACTAACCATCCACGCAATGCACATCTCTAGAAATACGAATTCCAGACAGAGCATAACTAAAATAGGTTCAGATTGATTCTTATTTATAGGCAGAAAGAGTTTGGGATCCCAAACTGAACATAATGTTTAAACAAAAAAGAAGGAAGGCGAGCATAACAAAGCTGAAAACCATCAATGCCACAAAACATATTTCATAAGAAGTCCAGACAAGAGCGAAGGCTGGACAAAGGATCCAATAAACTTTGCTAAACAGAGACAAAGGACTTACTGCCTCTTGGCTTCAACATCTCTGCTAAAATCAACGTTTGGCTCACAGTCAAGAACCAGGGCTGGGATCTGCATATTATCAACAAAATCAGGAAAAGAATGAGCAAACCATGGAGATAATAGTTTAAAAGGATAATATTTTTGGAAGAAAACATACCTGTTGGATGCTAGGGTGCATATGATCACCCGCCAAGTAAAAGACACGATCCTTAATATCTGGCGGTAGAGAAACGAGCTGGGGGAGGTTGCTAACAGACACAACACCATGATTTCCATATTCTGATGGAAACAGCCAACTCTCATGCTTCTCGTGCAAATCACGCAGATAATCCAGGGAGACTCCACCTTCCTCTTCTCTGTTACGCGACACCATTCGTCTGTGACAGGTATCTGGGCTTGCTCTAAGATAGATGAAGGCATCAGGGATTAGCCCTGGTAAGGCAGCCACCACAGGATCAAACCATGAATCATAGATGTTTAGTTCCATTTCATTCATCCATTTCGCTTCATGAACAGCTCTCACAAAGACCTAAACCAAGTCAAAATAAGACAGAAAACATTGGACCATAAATCCTATTAGGTGTTCATAGACTTTAAAAGCAGAGAAGATTCAAAATATCAGGTGAAAACTGGTCATATTTCAACAATACATGCCCACAGACTAATTATACCCAGATGTCGTCACACAGGCTATGGAAAACCCTCTCTATATACTCAATATGGCAATTAAAAAGCTACTCTCCATTATACTGGGGGTTCAAATAGATGATGGAAAAGGAAGATATCTTGGGTTGCCACATGTAATAAGAAGATTAAAGGGTAAGTGTTCTCATATGTGAAGGTAAAGATTAAAAAAAAAGCTCAATTGTTGGAATGAGAAATTCTCATCATGGCTGGAAGACAAATTCTCATTAAAGCTGTGATCCAAGCGATTCCAAACTATGAAATGATATGTTTTAGCCTTTCAGGTTGCTAAGAATCAATGTTGATGCAGCCTACAATAATAAAGAATCTGGAATTGGGGCAACTGTCAGAATATGGGTGAACTGAGGCTTTGTAATTGGAGACGATTTCGGACGCAGAGCACGCAAAATATGTTGCACTACTTAGGGCTCTGGGCTTTGCAAGAGATCAAGATATTACTCATTATACTTCTGAAGGTGATAATTTTCCTAAAGGTTATTAAAAAGCTAAGCTAAAAGACTTGAATGAATGAAAATTTCATTTTGATCCCAAGAAAAAAATGATAACATAAACACAGGAAGAGGTACATACCATTCTATCACTGAAAACACTTCTTTCCATCAATCTGAGAGGCTTGATACCATCGGATGATTCTCTTTCCTGCATCATCCTAGTCACGAACACATAATTCTGAAAGGTGTAGGCATATCTCTTAGGATCGTGGTAGAATGCATCCAGAATGTTGAAGTGATCAGGACCAACATTCTGCCATTTATCAACCGGCTCAGGAACAATTTCCACAAGATCTCTAAGCTCCAGAGTCTCATTAGCGATTCTCTGCAGAAATGTAGATTTGCCAACACTGATATTTCCTTCCACACAAAAGGTAATACGCTTCTTTTGAGCTCTCTTAACTTCAGAACCATCTTCCTTCAACTCCTCATCTACACTCTCTTTAACAAATGTAGTTATGCTTGCAGCATGGTTTTTGTGAATAATTCCCACAGAACTTTGCAAATACTCCACCATTTTTTCACTGGATTGTCCGAAAAACTGCAATTTCAACAAATCTTCGTCAAAACCCAACAATACAATCTACATATCAAGTAAAAAATTGGACAAAGAAAACACCTTTCCTTTATTGCAAACTATTATCCTACTACAACAGTTTCTATTCAACTAATCGGTTTCATTCATTTGTTTATGTCTAATTGGTCCCTGCAACTTTCATTCTCAAACTGGAGTTCAAATTATTTCGTTTGGTATTTAACAGAAGCATTTGTTTAAACCTATCAAGCCTTCAATACAGCCAAACAATGACATTTAGAGAAAAAAGTCATGTTCAATCTTTACCATTACATTTTCAGACCAAAATACTAGAAACAAGTCAGTTCATATCATTTCATTTGGTATTTAACAGAAGCATATGTTTAAGCCTTTCAAGCGTACAATACTGCAACATAACGGCATTTAGAAAAAAGGTTCATGTTCAACTTTTATCATTACATTTATAATAAAAATTTTAGTAACAGGTCAACATTGTGATACCCTAGATGCACAGAAACAAATTATACAGCTCAATTTTTCCTTTTTGAAACAACATTTACCTTATCCCTGTAAAGCTGTTTGAGTTCAGCAAGAGCAGAAAATCCCTTCTGCACCAACTTTTGTAAATTCCTTGGTCCAACTCCCGGAATAGTCAGCAAGTCCAGCTTCTCCGGCGAGGCAACTGCAGTAGTAGGCCTCTGCCTCCGCTGAACCTTCACCTGAGCAACCTTATCCTCCGAGCCCTCTTCACCACCCTCCACAACAGCCTCATCCTTGTCACCCCCTGCTCCCACCGTGCCAAACCAAGCCTTACGAGACCCACCTCTCACATTCTCCTTCAGAACAACCCAAGCCCTCATTGAACCAACACCGACAACCCCTGTATTCCCATTAATGGAGCATTTGCAAATCCTACACTGACCCATCCCAATATTCCCAACGTTAACCGACCCAAAACTCACAGGGGCCTTAACGGCGGGGGAGGCGCCTCCATTCCCGAAACAAGAACCGGAAGAGTGAAGTCTCAAAGTAGCAGCGGCGGCGGCGGCGGCGGCGGCGGACGGCATAATAGAAATTCCGCGACCCGGGTCAGCGACGGCTTTGAATTTTTTGTTCAGGGTTTTGCAAAACCCTCGTGAGAAGGGCGAATTAGCAGACAAAACAACAGGGGGGCTTCCGGTGATTCCCAGTGAAGAAGGGCTCTTGCTTAATAGCTTCTGCATCCCTCTGCATATCTCACACACACTCACCCACCAATTATTTCCCGTTTTCCCCTTTCTCTTTTGTGTATCTTCAGTGAGAAAATATATGACCGTTACTGTGTGACTGTGTGTAGAGAAATGGATTTGGAATTGGGGTTTTTCCTTGGGTTTTGTGGAAGAGGAAGAGAGCGGGAAGGGGAAAAGACTAAAGACAGTGATGAGGGTGTGCTCTCTTTGCTTTTAGTGTGTGTGTGTGTGTGTGTGTGTGTGTGCGTGTGCGTGATTTTCGGCAGGGGAAAGTTTAATTAATTTATTGATTCGGTACGATCATCTTTGATTTATTTTATTAAGGACCATAATCTTTATGTATGAATTAAATATTAGCCCAATTGCATCAAGTTGTTGTACGTTGTGCTTTATGTGTTGTACATGTGTGGTGTTTTAGCAAAATGTTACTATTCTGAAAATTTTCTGACAGTCTCAGTTGATCATCTGATGATTATTTATTTATGTGTGAAAATAGAATTTCAGGGGGATGTGTTCCTGCATCATCCACTTTTTTTTTTCTTTTCTTTAAAGAGAAGGAGTCTTGTATTTTTTTTTATACTATTAGTCAATTACTTGTAGCAACATTAAGGGGGCAAAAAATAAATGCAAAGGAATTAAAAGTTGAATAAAATGATCAAGTACTGATCTAAGTGACTTTTGTGCTCTAGTAATATAATGCATTAATTTGTGACATGAAATGAAAGTTTGAAATTAACATGATTTCGAAAGTATACTACCCTTTTTTCGCTCCTTTTTTATTTATTTTTAATTCAAGGCGAAGTCAATTACATTTTTTTCTTTTCTAATTTCATCATCATCTCTCTGGTTTCAATAGGTTATTAGTGGGTGACCCGTACGTTGTGCGGGTTGTAAAATTTTTCCTGTATTATTTGTGTAAAATCTATAATCTATCTATAATCTCCATTATAGCAAAAATCAAGTTTTGTCCAAAATTCCAAATGTCACATTATCCTTAAAAGTCTCCCAACTCCAAATTAAAAAAAAAAATCCCCAAAAACAAAGAAAAAAAAAGACGATCACTATTTAGTTTCCCAAAAATAAAAATTCCAGAAAAAAAACTAAACAAAGAAAAAAAAAGATGTAAACCAAAATAAAGGAGAAAGACATGGTACCTTTTAAAATGTCACACAAAAATCTTTTATTCTTATATTTTAAAATTTTTTGTAAATACTAGTGATACTAAATTATAAATCAACACTTTGAATTTGTTATGTGTTGTAACTTGGTTGAGATTGGCGAATTAAAATTATAATTTGAAATTGGTTAAAAGAAACAAAGAATTAGTCTTTTCAAATACCCATGCGAAAGCACGGGTCCATAACCTAATAAAGATTATCAAAAAATGTAAGAGTAATCACGTTGAAAGGTGCATTTATATATACTCACTTAGTCCTAAATGATATCTAAAATTTCTCCCAAAAATACAGTATAAACTAAAACTTCTCAAGCAACAGACGAACATTTATACTGTGGTTTTAATCTTTGCATTTGAATTTGTTACTCTCATATTTCATGTCAGGAAATTTGTAAAATGAATATTTTTCGTTGTTTATTTCATCTTTATGATAAGAGAAAGGCGAATATATAGAGTAAAATGTAAAGAAAAATAAAAAAAATAAAATCTCTTAATTGGCAATATTGCGTTGCATGCTGCAACTGAACAGAAAGCGTGAGGTTTAGCATACATATGTTTCCACGTTTTCTTAAATTTCATCTATTAAAGGCGTGATATTATTCTTTTAAAAGAAATTGCATCCGAAACTACACAAAATAAAGCTCCAAAATCCAAAGTGGAGGCATAACAGAGTCTAAAGATTGCATCTTTTTAAGTCGAGCTTTCAATAGTTGTGGGATGATGGGTTTCTGTTGAGAGAACTTTAGGGGCAAATCACCTCCAATTTTGTTCTTCATCTTTGGAATCCCTATCTATTTGATTGTGATCACCCTTGGAATTAAATTGATCAATTGAGAAACTTGTTTATGAAGACTTTATATGCTTCCCGACCTCCGTACCATCTTTAGATAAGTACTGACTTTGGTTTATTCCGGTGATTGGCCTGAAATTGGTAGTATAACTTGGAGAAGGGGGTCTTAAGGGTATGAGGATAGGAAAATTCCGTAGGAGCTGGGTTTAGTTTTTTTTGTGGAGCTGGTTTTAGACCTATTTTTAGAAAAAGTCTCATCATTATCTGAATTAGAAATTTAGGGTGCGTTTGACCACGGAATTAAAGAGTCTGACTTTGTCTTTTCAACATTTGAAAATTGAGGCAAATTATCTGGTACACCCGGGGGCACCGTGTACCCCCATGTGCGTGTACTTTACTCTCTTAGAATAGCGTGAGTTCGCTAGATAATTCATCCTTCCTTTTCTTTTCTTTTTTTTAAACGCAGCATATATAAATTAACGAATTCATTCAAATTGGATATTGGATAACCAGTTTGCACACTATGGATAACCAGCTACACACTATGGACAACCAGTGTTCACCATGTGGATAACCAGTGTTGGCACTATAGATAACCAGTTACACACAGCTGGATAACCATTATTAACCTGTTGGATAACCAGTATGGACATAGTGGATAACCAGTTACATACAGCTGGATAACCAGTTGCCAAATTTCATTTTTTTTTTTTATATTTTTCTTGGATATCCTTGTCCGTATTTTTTACACTGGTTATCCAGCTACCTTTCATTCATTTTTTGTTCTCCATCATTTGGCAAACTTCCCCTCATTTAATTAAATACTATTTATGAAATTTGCCATGTTTGGCATGGGGGCGGCACAGCTGCGAAAGGCGGCGCAGCTGCGGGTACCGGCGCAGCCGGGTCGTTTAGTTTATCACGGGGAGATTTATACAAGTAATTTGTGTCCCCTCTTAACGCAATAACACACTCTCCTTACACACACACGAAAAAAAGATTACCTTAGCTACATTGGCATGTTCGGCAGGGCAGTGCAGCCGGGGCAGGTTGGTGACCTGCGATTCCGGTAGCCGTGGGAGTCGTTTAGTTTCTCATGGGGGGCGAGGCCCCCCAATGAACATGCCATTTGGATAGCCATTTTCTTATGGATATTTTCTTTTGTTATGTCTTTTTGGAAGCTATCTCTGAATCCTTGTTTTGTTGTTTGGGAATTGTGGATAATCAGTTTACACCTTCTGGATAACTAGTTTACAACTTGTGGATAACCAGTTTACACCTTGTGGATAACCAGTTTACAAATTGTGGATAATCAGTTTACACCTTCTGGATAATCAGTCTACAACTTGTGGATAACCAATATGAAATGGGTGGATAACCAGTATTTAATGTAAAGGTGAAAAATGGTGAGCGCGTATAACGCGTGTGTTGTGTTTGGTGGGGGTATACGGTATACCCAGGTGCACTGGATACGGACTCAAAATTGAAAATCTGGTTGTGATGACTCCAGATTGTGTTGACTGAGAAGTTTGTTTCGCAAAGGTAAGGGGCGTAACTTCAAGAATCTCTTGCGTTGAGGCCGCCGCGAAATCAGCAATGATTTCTCAAAATTTTCCTCCGGTGATTGACGTGTAGCAGCGGCGGCGTCAGGGGAAGTCCGCAGCTCAGCGACGGCAAGAGTTTTAGTCGCGGTTGGGAATTCGGTCGCAACATCAGCGATAGATCGGTGATTTTCTTCCAACGATGAAATACCAGTGATGCCTCTGATTACAGGTGGTGGATCACACTGGACTTCCTCTCCCGGTGGCAAAGATGATTTCGGCAAAGAGAGTATATTGATGTCTCTGATTACAGATGATTCTGGCAACGAGTTCATTGGTGGGTCTTGTTTATCCGCAGCAGCAGAGACCTCATCCGAGCCAGCAGAGCCTAGTTGCTCTTTTCTAGCGAGGTCATCGGCAAGGTTTTGCGCTGCTGCTTCAAGCGGCAACTATAGCGCATCACCAACAGGATCTGGCAGCAACGGCTTTGCAGCAGTAGAAGGCAGCTTTGCATCAGGAACATCGATTTTCATTAGAGGCAGCGCTGGTCCTTGCTTTCCTTGTGACGGTTCCTTTGGCTGTTGCTTTGAAGGGGGCTGATCTATTTTTTGTGATGAGGATGCCTTTGTATTGTATCGACAAGAATTGATATCGTGACCAATCTTTTTACAATCAACACAATATAAAGGTATATTCTTATAAAGCACAAATTGAAATTACGTTTTACCATTAACTCCTAATCGGATCGGATTGGATGATCTTTGAGAAGATCAATCTCAACACAGACCCGTGCCACCGAAGGTCGTGACATATTAAGTGTTGGAACGTCAATTTGAAGCGGCGTTCCGATGATACCCGCAAGCTTCCACAAGAATTCTCTATTAAAGCGATGGATGGGGAGACTTTCAAAAGAAATCAAAACCGGGACTATTGAGCTTTCTTGCGAAAGATTAAAGTCGGTGGTCCATTTGAGAACTCGCATACGGTGCTTGTCAAAAATCCTAAACCTTTTAACCAGCAACGATGATAATCTTTCTCAAGATTGAAACAAATAAGGACATGTCGGTGATCGATCATCCCTAGTGAGAAACTTCCCTTGAACCCTATGGTTTGAAATTCCTTCCGCAAATAGTCCATTTTTGGCCTACCTTTAGTAAATTTTCCTATAAGGGCGAGTTGAAAAGGGGCTACCAATTGTTCATATTCTTCTTTTATTAGAAGAAAAGTCGGCTCTCTTTTGAAAAGGGTTAGTTCTGAATGAATTATAGGTGTGGCTTGATTTTTTGATGCCTTGCTATGTATAGACTTTGGATTTGAACTAGATCCTAAAATTTGTGCAAAGAGAAGGTTGCTGGGGGGGGGGGGGTTTGAAGTAGTTGTGTGTGGCCAGCCGCCGGCCATAGGAGGAGAAGATGAGAGAGGTCAGAGGAATCTTCAACACATTTACCAAAAATCAATCCGAAAATTTGAAACCCATCATTTATTCCCAGTTATTCTCATTGTCTTCGCGGTCACCAGTACTGCCACTGTGCAACTCCATGCCAACAAATACCATAAACAAAACCCAACTTCTCAAAATCCCCCTAAACACCAAAAATACCATTGAACCTCTGTAAATATTGTAGATGATAGATCCACTCTCTAGTGATTTACACTTTGTCATCTTGTAAGAAGTTGAGAATTCATATTGGAGCGAAGAAGTTTTTTTTTGTGTTTCCTTTTTGCTTTTATAATTTATTCTCTTTTTTACATAATTAACCATGGTTAATGACTTTGATCGGCAGATGTTTGCAAGGGAAAAAAGAGACACGTGTCAACCCTAGTTAAAAGTTACAAGAAGTGACACAAATTTTGGTCACAGGTAATCTCCACCCGAATAATTATATGAAAATTTTATCTCTGGATATTCGAATAATTTATGGCAGATGATCTGTTTTACTAAGTTCATAAACTCATTACTAGATTAAATTAATGAAGAATTAAATTTTTTCTATTTTTTTATTATGAGGGATATGGTTATTCATTTCAAATTTGAGAGAGTAGGAGACTACATAGGTTTATTATTACTCCCTCCGTCCCATATTTATTGCCCACTTTACCCAAAAAATTTGTCCCAAAATTATTGTCCAATTTAACTTTTTATGGATCAAGTTACACATTTGTCCTTAGTAAAAAATATTATCCATAAAATCTTAGTGGTTAAACAATTATTTATGTAGGGGTATATCCGGTTATTTAAGGTAAAATATAGTTAAATTTGACCAAAAATAAAATCTTTCATTTTAGTAAAACTGGACAATAATTATAGGACGAGGGGAGTATTTTTTTATTATGAGAAATCATTTGATGCAGCTGCTGCACCACATCAACATTACATGGTGCAGCAAGCCAATAAAAGAAGCACACATATCCATTAATTTCTCATCCTTGACCTGGTTTCCTTTGTCCTAGTTTCTTCCGGGCTTCGGTTGATGTCCCAAATTAATAAAAACAGATAAATTGCATTACGTGGAAGAGAAAATTCATTTAAAAAATTTTAATACTCATTTTTAATTTCTTACATCTTTTTATCTGTTAATATGTAGAAATCCATTTAAAATTTGCGACTTATTGAAAAAGTTCAATGTTGAATTTTCCTTTGAACATAGAGAATTTCTTGTGTCTTCATAGTAATAGCTGATACTCCCTCCGTCCCAACAAAGCAGTGTACATTGAGTTTTGAATTTTGTACTGTTTTTAGTACAACTTTGAAAACTCAATGTGATTTATTTTTGTGGGACGGAAGTAGTACATAAAAATTGATTATAAATCTCCTATAGCTATTTTTTGAGTTGCAATTTTGTGTTTCACTTTGTTCTCTCGTTAGCTAAATCGAAAAATAAGTCGACAAAGTTAAATTTTTTAATTTTAACTATTATTTTTGAAAAGTTAAAAGTATTTGTGAAGTTCTTAAATACATCTTCAAACAAGAAAGAATTGTATATTTAGCGAACTAAATACTTTACACATTTATCTAAATTTATAAAAAAAATTTATCACCTTCCTTTTATTTTCCAAATCTGTTGGAATGATCTACAGGTAAAAATAATAATGCGTAGATTGAGTTTTAGTAGCCCCTCATCCAAAAAAAAAAAAAAAGGAAAAAGAAAAAAAGAGAAAAGAAAAAGTCTTGGAGACTTTCCATTTTTCTTTGTTTCATCTTGCGATAAAAAGGCCCAATTTGTGCGGCATTTGGTTGTCTGTTAGTGTGAAGGCCCGTGGGCGTGGTCCAAGCACTGGGATATATAGAACACACCAAATTGTTGTCCTCTTTTGATTATTTCACTCTTCTTTTCAGGGTAAAAGATCCTTGATCTGTCATTTTAGTTTGCAGATTTTAAGGTCTGATTAGATAAACTAAAAACGAAAGAAACAATGGTCAAAGGACAAAAAGCCTTTTGGAGATATCATGGCTGTGTCTTTTTTCCCCAGATAGGCATACTATAGGCCCATTTTGTAATGAGTTCCACTTAGATTTTATTAGCAAATGTAATTAAGGAAGATCATCAATAGCTTCTTGATGCTAATGACGAAATGTAGTGCCCCATTCATATTCGACCATATTATATAAATTTAAACCTTATATTTCATCTAATTCAAAATTGCATCATCTTTATTAGATTATAAATTTAAATGTACAAACACACATTCACATACGTATACATAGAGTCAATGTACTAATAAATGACGTGAATAAGTACTTGTTCGTATAGTTAGACTTTGAACATATTTCTTCGAGATTTTGAATGGAGAGTTTATAGGTTGAAAAAAGTATTTTTCTTACATTCAACTATATTTTCTAACTTGTAACTAACCAGAAAGAAGTATTTATATTCTTCATAAAGTAAAATATTAATTTTCCTCAGAGTTAAAATTCCATGAATATTAACTTCACTTTTCCCTACTTTCTAAGCAACCAAATAGATATGTTTCAAAATTATTGTATAGTTTAAAGTTTCATTTTAATACAAAAAATAAAAATACAATGTAAACAATAATTTCGGAACAAAATGAGTATTTCTTTTTGGTGCGTTGAAAAAGTGCTTCTCCAAGTTTTTGACGGGTAATAATAACACACTGGTCTTCTTAGAGTTCATTTTTTTTTTCTACTTTACAGTTTACGCTGTATTTATTTGGTACGATAATCTTTTAATTTATTTATTTCATAAATAAATCCATTGGAAAAATCTTGTTGTATACACTGCCTTATGGGCTGTACATGTATGGTTTTCAGCTAAAAAAATCTGACTTGATCAATTTTTTATGGTTAAAAGAATCTCGGAATTTAGAATCTCATTTTTCTTCAAGAGAAGTAAATTTTTGCTTGCAATATGGTTATAAGCTTGCAATTTTAAACTTTTGTTCATGGTGACATTAAAATTTTAAATTTAGATTATGTCACGAATAATTAGAATCGGAACAAAGTCAATACTGTAAAAGAAATTGTAAGTAGAATCAGAATCAAACCAAGATCATAACTATTTTCAGAACCGAAATTAGAATCAAAATTTTAATAAAAAGAATTGAAATTAAAAACGGAACCAGAACGTCATCAAAATTTAATCGTTTAATAACGTCTTAGGAATCTTTCTGTTTTGATTCTATGTAACTAGGGAAAGTTTCAAAATCATAATAACCAAACAGTGGTCCGGGCTAATCTTAAACACGGTGCTATAATTGAGTAGTTTCTTTAACCGGCAGTTTCTACAATAAAATTTCTTCAATTGACCTTTTCCTCAAGAAAAATTCAATAGCTATCATTGATCCTGATTCTGTGTGTAAATTACTTCGCAACATGTACTTATAAGAGTACTTTGTTTTTATTGAGTGACATGGGATTAATATTCACAAAGTTGAAGCTACACGCTACTTCTATTAACATCACTGATATCGACATTTCTTATATCTACACAAGATCACTGAGAATGAACTAAGTTTAGACTCTTGTTTAGTTTTATCTTTCTTGCATTATTTTTGTCCCTCCACCAGCTATTAAGAATAATTTATCTGTTTGGTTCAATGGGCTATATAACTAACTACGAGCTTGCAAATTTTTCACAAGGCTTTTTGTTGAAGAGTCCATGGAGACTGGGTCTTTGTTCCAGCTTTTCAATGGACTTTGAGTAGACTTTCTCACGAATTCGTTGAGCATAAAACTAGCAACGTTGTACCTTATTTCTAGTTTTCCATCATCAAGAAAAAGATCTAAAAAAGACACACACACACACACACGCTGTTGAAGAGCTTCATGAATTTCAATCACATGATGCCACTAAAGTTGCTGGTGGTTTTCTTCATTATACTAAACCCTTGTGGTTGTTCTTCTTCTTCTTCAGCTAATTTTCCCATTGCAAAGCCTAGTTGCCTGGATCATTGTGGCAATGTTAGCATCCCCTTCCCATTTGGTATCGGAGAAAATTGTTATTATCGAGATCAAAATTCAAATTTCGCTGTGGAATGTAACACTTCCAAACTGAAATTTCAGGATAGTCCCTTCGAAATTACGGAGATATCGCTGGAAGGGCAGTTTCGCACCATGAATTACGTCGGATACAATTGCTACGCACATAATCGAAGTATCAAGTCCAATAGTCCTTGGACTAGTCTTGGGATGCCCTTTATTTTCAATAGCACAAGTAACAAGTTCACTGTTATTGGCTGTGACTCCATCGCAATAGTTCAAGGTATTGAATCAATTATTCGATTAAAAATCAATTATTGTAATGTGATGTGACAAGGTACTAGCAAACTTAATCTCGTATGTACCTTGATTGATTCATTTTTTTTTTTACTTCTTTGATTGATGGAAAGGTGCTAGCAACTTGCGAGAATACACTACTGGATGCGTTTCTTTGTGTAATTTCAAGGAAGATGTTGAGGATGGTTCGTGCTCGGGGATCGGATGTTGCCAGACATCAATACCAAGTGGAGCTTGGCAGATTAATGTCAGTTTGAGTAGCGTCTTCAATCACAGTTCGGTCTTGAGTTTCAATCCTTGCAGTTATGCTTTTGTTGTGGAGGAAGATGCTTTCCATTTTTACGCAGATAACCTTACCAATTTAGAAAGCGTCGAAACTCTACCGGTACTCGTGGACTGGGTGATTTCATACAAGAACTGCAACGAGGCTATCACAAACAAGAGCAGTTATGCATGTGGGTTGAATAGCGAGTGTTATGTAGAGGAAGGAGCTTTGGGTTATCGGTGTCGGTGCAATGAAGGTTATGAAGGAAACCCGTATCTAGGTTGCCAAGGTAACTTACTAAAGCTTGCTTATTTCTCATTTAATCACTGTTAATACTCTTCCATCTTAAAATAAATATGACCATTATTTTAGAACGGAGTGAGTGTGAAAGTCAAGGTTTCTGATAATTCGTGTTTCGGTTTGTAGATATTGATGAATGCCGGAATCCTGACCGGTGTGGAAAGTATAGTGCTTGTACTAACACAGTCGGAAGTTACAAATGCAATTGTATTAAAGGGTACCACGAAGATGGCGATGGACGATGCGTTGCTAACAATAAAAAGGATAACTGGCCTGTTTTTATTGGTTAGTTAGATTTATGTTAATGGAATTGTCAAATTCAAAGTAATCGATGAGTTGAGTTATATTGACATTAATTGATTGTCTCTTGGCATCTGAAGGTGTTGGCCTAAGCGGAGGCACATTGTGTGTACTGATATTGTCATTTTGTTTCTTCTCCAAACGACAGAGACAAAAGGAAAAGAAGTTGAGAGAGGAGCTTTTTAGGAAAAATGGGGGCAAATTTTTACAAGAAAAACTCGATGCTGCTAAAAGAGGAGGCACTAATAACATTAGAATATACAAAGAAGAAGAATTAGAGAAGGCCACGAATGATTTTGATGAAAGCCAAATCATTGGTCGCGGAGGATTTGGGACAGTTTACAGAGGAGAGTTGACAGACCATAAGGTAGTAGCAATCAAGAAGTCTAAAGGAGTTGATGAAGACCAAGTTGAGCAATTCATCAACGAGGTGATGCTGCTTTCCCAAATCAATAGTAGATATGTTGTTAAGCTACTAGGTTGTTGTTTGGAGACAGAAGTGCCATTGCTTGTGTATGAATACATCGACAATGGGACGCTCTTCGATCATTTGCACAAGAAATTCAAATCATCACTTTCTTGGGACATCCGCTTACAAATAGCTTCAGAAATCGCTGGAGTGCTCTCATATTTGCATTCTGTCGCTTCACCTCCAATTATCCACAGGGACATAAAATCGTCTAACGTACTTCTTGATCAAGATTACATTGCAAAAGTATCTGATTTTGGGATATCAAGATTGATTTCTTCTGATGACGATCAGGTGGCAACGATGGTGCAAGGAACACTTGGTTATTTAGACCCCGAATACATGCTAACCGGTCTGTTAACCGAGAAGAGTGATGTTTACAGTTTTGGGATTGTTCTAATGGAGATTATAACAGGAAAGAAAGTACTATCTTCCGGTAAACCTGAGGCAGAGAAATTCTTATCAAATGTTTTCCTTGCTTCTTTGGAAGAAAATCACTTGGCTGAGATTCTTGATAATAATATATCCTCTCCAGAAAACATCGACCAACTGCATGAAGTTGCGATGATTGCAAAAAGATGCATTAGCGTAAGAGGCGAGGAGAGACCCTGTATGAAAGATGTAGAAAGGGATCTTCTTATATTGAGAGCAAAAGCCAAGGTAATTTCTCTTCAAGTTTTCGAGAAGGATTCTACCAAAAGTGAAACCTTGCTTGATATGCACTCAATCGGATATGGTAGTTCTGATTATTTTACGTCTAGCGGCCAATATTCTGCCCCTTACACCACCACAGAGCAACCATTGTTGACTCTACCAAGTGGAAGATGAAGCGAGCAGAAACCATTAAGCAGTCAAATATAATCCATTCATTGTTAATTAATTAGCTGTAGAACGGTGAAGGTTTATTCATGATATCTATATGCATTAACGATTATAGAAAATACGGTTAGTTCGTCAAATAAAATTGAAAATGTTTGTGAGTAGTAAGATTCAATCTCGGTTTGAATAATGATATTATTGGTATTTCTAACCATGAAGTATTGTAAATTTAATTTTTAGGATCTGTCTTTGTCGGTGTAAAAAATTTAATATTTGTCCCTTTGAATAAAGGAAATGGTTTACACATTGATACCGTCTCTTCCCTTGCTTGTTGAAAGTGGTGTTTGACTTTGAGTTTCAGATTTAATCAGAAGGAATCTTTAACTTTATTTTTACGTTACTAGTCAAGTCTTTATAGGAATGTATTAAGAAATTACTACTTGAAAAGTTGTAAAAAATTACTACTTATACAGTTGTTATTAACATGATCATTTAAGGTCATATATATTGATACTCCTTTTACCATAGTTTCCACTTTTTTTGGTACAATATTTTCCACCATTAACTGTATAAGTTGAGAGTTCGAACTCCCCAAATGTATTATAAAGCAATCTTAACTTTTTTTTGTTATTTGTGTCACCTATCGAAATGTTTACAAAAGAATTATACAATTCCATCACCGACTCACACATTGATTACATGCTTATTAATGTATATGGAGCATGTAAGGAAGAATACGTGTTGAAAACAAAGTGCCTTAAACATTCAGATCCCATGACTGATTCATTAAATTTGTTATAGAGAGATTATTGATTTTGTCATCATTATCTATGTACATATGAGCTTTTAAAATCCATAACCTCTTTTCATTGCTTCAAGTAAGACAACACCAAACTTTCCTTGTGCATAACTAAAGCTTCCATCAAATGATAAGGGACATCCCAATGGCTAGCATCACAATACCCATAAATCCCATGTTTCTTAAGTTGCTTCTGGTTATCATTATCCTCAACAAGAAGATCAACCGAAGCTAACTCGCCCCCCAACTGGGAGAAACATGTTGTCATTGTTCCAACAAGTCAATGGAGGTCCAACTCTTTCAAAAGGTCCATCAAGAGTGTACTGTTTCATCCACGATTCTGGCACGCCGTATTCTGTCATAAGCCCAATGTGAATCAAAACAAGTTCCGTAACACCAGGGTGTGTGCCTACGTACGATTAGGAGTATTCACGGTTCGCATTGGTCCGGATTAATAGTAATCCGTAACCAAATCATTCATTACGGTTTTAAAATTTTCAAATTATAAATTAACTGGATTGATGTATAAACTGGACCAATCCAATCCGTTTTGAATGGTTTAGTTAGGACAGATTGGCGGTTTGCGCTTTTAATTGGGCTTTTTCGTTTTGAGCAAAAAATTCAACATTTTTTTATTATTGGACCTTTTTTCGGCCTTTTATTGGGAGCTTTTTCTGGGCCTTTACTGAATTTTGTTTGGCCTTTTAAAATAATATCTACCAAAATCCTTCAAATAAGTGAAATTCAAACTGAAAATCTCACAAGCGACCATAAATATTAAATACAGTAATCCATGAAGTCCATAAATGAAAAAAAAAGGAAAAAAAAACAAGAGAGAAATCAGAACATTCATCCTCGGTTCAACAAAAATTTAATAATCAATCTTGGCCAGCTTCCTTAGTTGAAAATCCGGGTAACCCCCTCCATTTGTTCAAACAGCTTCCTTAGAACATTATTTCCATAATTCCCAAGTATGCAACCAGTTTAAAAACTAGCAAAGTAACCAGCCAAATAACTAGTCAAATTGATTCACCTTTCCATAAGGTTTGTTCTATAAACAGAAACTCAAACAAAAATAGGCCAACTAGGAGTTTTTGTCCAATCAAAACAACAAAAAGATCCGACAATAGTAACAATGGCAGCAGCCCAGAGAAATTACAGTTTGCAACGACAGCGTATTATCATCATCATCATCATCAACCAAGCACAAAAACAAGTAAACAACAATAACAACAGTAATTACTCTGAATGGACGTTTTCCCTAGGTAATTACTTCGAATTGCAATTTCATATATGTAGACAGCATAATTCTTCCATTTCATTTACTGTATGCTGCAAGGTCCTTCAGCGGCGGAGAAGAAGAACTTCAGCGGCGCTGCGGCGGCCCGGCGGCAACTATGGGTGAGGCGCAGCAGCGGGCAGCGAGTGAGTGGCTTCTTTGCCGTTTGAGAATGAGAACAAAAAAAAAAAAAAATTGGAGGCGCAGCGCCGGAGGGGTGAGAGATGCATGCAGCCGCCGATGGATTAGGAGGAATACGCTTGGGAAATATCAGCCACCGATGAATCCGGAGGCGGAACGCGGAGGCACAGAGCAGCCCCTTTGCCGTTCGGTTTGGGAATGAGAAGGAAAAAAAATAAAACTATTTATATCTAGGGTTTAGTTTAGGGGAAAAATAGGAGGGAAAAAAATATAGTGATTAAGGAGACTCAAACATCTTCTGCAAATATAAGATTACGGGGAACAACAATACCAGTGAGACAACTTAACATTTTCACTATAGAGTAGTTCATGATCCGGCTCTATATATACAAAAACTATTGTATTGTTATTTAATAATATATATACAGTCCGGTCCGATAGACAGTTTGACAGTGCCAAACCGTAATCTTGACCGGCATGACCGGTTTTTATTTTCCAAATCCACCGGTTTAAAAATTCAATTAAAATCTGCCCGCTAATCCGAACCGATGACCGGTTTGGACGGTTCTACCGGTTTGAGCCAAACCATGAACACCCTTACGTACGGTAAATGAACCAACGCAAAGGAATCCTCCAAAACAACTAGGCCGAATTTTGAAAAGGTTGAATCGGAGCATCCAGCGGAATCGGCATCGCTCGCAACACCTTATTACTGATATTTAAACAAAGGACAATAAATTTTACATCAAAATCCCATGCAGACCAATAGATAAACCCATTGAACACAATACCAGACTCAGGAGAAAGTTCTAAATCCGGAGAGTTACGAAACCTCTTGACGAAATCGCGTCAGGCGAAGCGATATTAGGTTTTGTCCAGGAATTAGTGTTCATATGATAGATCTCAAACTTGCAAATGCCATTAAATAATTGAAACAGTTTTTGGACATACAAAACTGAGACAACCTTATAATCGTCGGTAAAAGGACGAAACCCAAACCCTAAACTTTGTCGGAAGCCAACGAACCCGAGAGGAAACCTTAAGGGCCTGTCGGGAATTCTCAAGCATTCACGAGCCTAGATTACACAATAGAAAGGCACCACAACATCAACTTCATATCCATCCACAAAAGGAGGATCGTGCAAATATCCCTTCCTTTTGGCGAGGCAAACGATGCCGTTGCAAGGTCCAGCCATGCACATCATCCCATGGTCGAAAGTATTGGAATTTGAGCTAATGTGAATGAGAATTTTGGTTTCTCATTAATTGGAAAAATGAAATTAGAGACATTACATGAAAGGTATAAAACCTTTGAGTTCATGAGTACGTCGGGCCTGATCAACCTGAGTCATGAACTTATCTTGATTTATTTTCCAAGTAGATGAAGAGTCCTTGCAGATTCATGTGAATGAACTAAATTCATGAATCAATATTAATGGGATGTAAGGGGGGATGAATGCTCATATTCATAGTTAGATTAAGTTAATGAATGAAACCTCTTTGCTTTTGGTGAAACATTGTATCTAACTAAGTTAATTGAATTAACTTGAGAGAATGAATAGAATAATGCTACTACTTCAAGTAACTCTTCACCTATAAATAGTGGCTCATTTTTAACAAACAAATCATCCAAAAATTTCCAAGCTCTCTTAGCTTTCTTCTTAGCCTTTCTAGCCTATTTCTCTTGGTGTTCTTTGAATTCTAATGTTCTAGTTCACTGGTGAAGATCCTTAGTGCAAAGGAATCTTTACGAATTCGTTTTATTCTGGGAGATAAAAGCTCACTAAATCTCTTACACATTTGGGAGAGGGCTAATCTATCTTAAGGAAATCGTGTCTTTCACAAGCCTTGAATTTCCTCCTAATCTTTCCATCTTCTATTCTTGCCATTTTGAATACACTATCTTTTAGTATTTATCCAACAATCTTAAGACAGATTAAGTTTTTGTGTTCGTGATGGCTTCCGATGGTGATATTAATGTTGTTATTCCTGCTGCTACTGCCGCCGTTGCTATTGATGTTCCCAATGTTCCGGCCAACCATATAGAGAAGCCGGACAACAAAAGATGTTATTCTACTTGACCACGTTGAACTTGGCTAGGTTTCTAATGGATGAGCCTCTTACGTTGCCAAAAGGTATGCACCAACTATTGCTGCTTATGAAGCTTTTAAACGGTCAGATTTTCTTTGCCGTAATTATATTTTGAATGGTATTCATGATTCATTGTATAATGTATATGAGAAGTTTAAAACGGCTAAGGAATTGTGGGAATTCATGGACCTAAACATAAATCGGAGGATGTCGGCTCAAAGAAATTTGTGGTCAGACGGTTCCTTGATTATGTGATGGTTGATTCCAAGACTGTTGATAGTCAAGTGCAAGAGATTCAACTCATCTTGCACGACATCCAGGCTGAGGGGATGATTATGAGTGAAACCTTTTAAGTGGTTGTGGTCATTGAAAAGCTGCCTCCGGGCTAGAAGGATTTCAAAAACTACCTCAAGCACAAACGTAAGGAGATGACCTTGGAGGACTTGATTGTTAGACTTCGAATTGAAGAAGACAACATGAAAGCCCAATCTAAGGTATCTGGTGATTTAGAAGCCAAAGCTAATGTTGTGGAGAATGACAAAAACCATGGCTCCAAAGCTAAGGTCAAAAACACAAAAAAGGCGAAGGTGAAGCTCGGGACTACAGGTGGAGTCTCGAAGCCGAAGTACAAATTCAAAGGGAAGTGCTTCAATTGTGGCCGACAAGGTCATAAGTCATCTGTGTGCCGTAATCTGTAAAAGGATTCAGAGGCAAACATGATCAGTGACATCACCAAGGATGTAGAGGATCTGAACCTTGTTGCTGTGGTGTCTGAAGTGAATATGGTTGAGTCCAACCCAAAAGAATGGTGGATTGACTCTGGTGCTTCCAAGCATGTATGCACCAACAGAAACCATTTCTCTACCTTTGAAATAGTTCAAGGGGAGAAACTCTACATGGGAAATGCTGCTGTAGCTACAGTTGAAGGGAAAGGAAGCGTGATGCTGAAGA